CCCCGCCTCAGCCGGTGCGGGGGGAGCCTTGCCTTGCGAGGGGGAATCGCTCCTTTCCTTGGGGAGACGACGTTGTCGCCCGGGAGGCGTGGGGACAGCGACTCGGTGCTGGGCTTTAATCTGCAGCTTTCAGGTTTAATCCTTGGCCTTTACAGATTCTGATCTTGGCTCCTACACGGGAGATTGCTGTGCAGATTCACGCTGTAATCACAACTATTGGAATAAAAATGGAAGGCCTGGAATGCCACGTCTTCATTGGAGGGACCCCTCTGAACCAGGACAAAGTCAGGCTGAAGAAGTGCCACATAGCCGTTGGCTCCCCAGGTACGGCCGTGCCCCTTGTGCTTCGGATGCCGTGGGGTGCGTCACAGCACGATAACTGGTGCTTTGGAAGTCTGGGTTCCTTTTCTTAGTAATACGGGGTAGTCTTAAAGGCCACAGACATTGAGACCAGGTATTTTTAGTGAGAGATTATTTGGAACGTGCCCTTTTTAAGGCTTATTAAAATTACTTTTTAAAAAAAAATTGCAAAGTTCCCTGTTAAAACCTTTCAATTAATATTTCTCAAGTTCCTTTTACTTTTTTCTTCATACATAGGTCGAATAAAACAGCTCATAGAGCTGGACTACTTAAATACAGCCAGTATCCGGCTTTTCATTCTTGACGAAGCGGACAAGCTTCTAGAAGAAGGCAGCTTTCAGGAGCAAATCAAGTAGGAAAAACTCTTCTCATTTATTTATCAGTAGATTAGATATATATTTGTTAGTCATTTCCATTTCTTTATCTCACAGTTGGATTTATTCTTCGCTACCGGCCAATAAACAGATGCTTGCTGTTTCAGCTACTTATCCTGAATCATTAGCTAATGCTTTGACCAGGTACATGAGAGAGCCAACATTTGTGAGGTTGAACCCTACTGATCCAAGTCTCATTGGTAAGTAGAAGCTTGTTTATAGTGATGTTCTTCTCGATAGATAAAGAAGAGTATACTAAAACCAAAAGACGCACCTTTAAAATATGTGATGCTTCTTAATTTCCCTCCACAGGCAAGCTGAGTAGCTTACAAAGTATTTGTTTCCAGTATTGGTGTATTTAAAACATCAGCGATGAATGTAACTTTTGTTTTTTCTATCAGTTCCAAAAATATTTCAGCCTTTTAAGAAAAAACTTGCCCTGCGGGTTCTTATTTGGCACACGTGTGCTTGTTTAAACATGAAGTCTTTGGTTTAGCTGCAGCAGCACACGCTGACAGCAGCATAGCACTGTGCGTGGTTTTATGGAAACCCTTAATCTGATAGTGGTTTTGGTTTCTCAGGGCTGAAGCAGTATTACAAAATTGTGAATTCCCATCCACTTCCGCATAAAACGTTTGAGGAGAAAACCCAGCACCTACAGGAGCTGTTCAGCAAGATTCCATTTAATCAAGCCTTGGTCTTCTCAAATTTGCATAGCAGGTAATAAATTTGAAACAAAATCTGTAAAAAGCATGTTTGAAAGCAGTAGTTGTGATGTTAAGTTGCGGATGAATCTTGTGACGCCCTCTATAAGGTCTCAGAGCAGTATGCAAATTTCAGATCTGAAATACAGCTAGAGGAATGCGGTATGAAATACTGAAAATAAAGGGATGCTTTAGCACAAAGGTACCTCATACCCTGTTCAGAGTCCAGTGAGACCTGACATCCTGTTGTCCTTTTCCACCTGCAAGGTGGCTGTTGTTGACACAAAGGTGAAAGTGGCAGTTTTGGAACGTAGTCCTTGGCTGTAAAAAATTTGTTGTTAAGTTGTTGAATAAGTTGTTAAGAAATGCCCAGGGGTTGTGAGGTCTCTGGTTTTATTTAGGATTTTCATTGTGTGTATTCTGTCAGGGCTCAACATCTAGCTGAAATACTGACATCCAGAGGCTTTCCTGCTGCGTGCATTTCAGGTAAGTCTGTTCAGAACTTTCCGATTCTATTGAAGTTGTGCATAAATGTGACCTAAAATAGGAAAATTAATCTGAAGTTTGGGTTTGCTTGGCCTCTGGTTAAATAACCAAGAATAACACTTGAATCTCTGTAGGTCTTTAGGATTTAACCAATGTAAAAATGAATTAATATTTAACTTTCCTGTTTTCAGACTTGTTTCAGGGTCATTTTTGTGAATGTCCAGATGAGTGCATGGGCTTATCTGTAAAGAGAAAGTTTACTGACACTTACAGGTTGAAGCAATGTTTCTTTGGAACGCAGTTGAATTGAAATCTCTTTTTATGTCTGGCTTCTCTATAAAAAGCTGATAGCTGGGGTCTAATGTTTATTAGAAACCTTGATTGTTTACTTCAGCAGTGTTTGCCATGGCTTATGTGCTTAAGTAAAGTCTGTCTAAAGCCAGTGCTGTTCAAGTGGGTTAAGTATCTTCATAATGGGTTTCTCTTTAAAAACAAGCAAAAGAATTTTTTTTAATGGATTTCCTTATTTTCAAGTTTTTCTTGTTTGCTCATTTGTAACTGGTGTTTGAGGAAGTTTCTCTCAACCTTATTTCTAATCTCAGCCACAGTTTTATAAAGCAGTGTTTTGCAGAATTTGAGGGGCATGGAACTGAAGCATGTAATCTGTTCTGTCTTTCTAGGCAGCATGAATCAAAGCCAACGACTTGATGCTATGGCTAAACTGAAGCAATTCCATTGTAGAGTTCTGATTTCTACAGACCTGGTGAGTTAGTATTTTATAGCATACATGAATATTGTTCATAAAGTTACATCAGAGAATTAATTTGACTAGGCTTTGAGGAGAACCTAAATGTACTGATAAAGCTTGTGGCCTGAGCACTGTCTGCAACTTCCTTTCACTGTGAAACTCAGCAGTTGTCCCCTATTCCTTGTCTGGTTCAAAAATAATTTTTAATTTGTCTGTTGTGTTGCAGAGGCTTATAGATATTTCAGAGCAGGAGTTGTTTACTTTGGGTAGGAGCTATGGGAAGGAATAGCTTGTTTCTCTAGTGCGGTATGCACACAATAGTAACATCCCAAAGGACTTTAAATAGAGCAGTGCTTATGCTTGGGGCACTCTCAGCTTTTTTGTGGTTGATTTACTTTTTCTCTTCAGTTGATCGTTTGTGGTCCTGTCATGAAAAGATTACTGCTGTCAGGTTGAATTTTTTGATGCTGGGGGAAAAAAAACATGCTTGCTTGTATTTGATGCGTAGAAGACAGAAGAAAAATTACCCTTAACTTCCGTGGTGGCAATGCAATGTGCCTGCTCTCCGTGCAATACTGAAACTGGCTGGAAAGCTGTAGGTGCTTTATGGTGCTTTGTAACAACTAAAAGTTACTGTATGAGCAGTTACTCCCAAACGTGTTGTATTTATTTAAAGATCTGTTCAGCATATTCAGTTACTTATCCCCTTCTCTCCTTGCTTTCTCAAGACATCTCGCGGAATCGATGCCGAGAAGGTGAATCTGGTTATCAACCTGGATGTACCTGTAGACTGGGAAACGTACATGCATCGTATTGGCAGAGCTGGGCGCTTTGGTAAGAACAGTCATGTGGCTTTCTTGAGCCTGCCCTAGCTTCACTGGCTCTGGTCAGGTAGTTACACTGTCTGTTGTGTATTTCAGGAACTTTAGGCTTATCTGTCACCTACTGCTGCCGTGGAGAGGAGGAAAACATGATGATGAAAATTGCACAGAAATGTAATCTTCAGCTTCTTCCTCTACCAGGTATGCTCTGTCCTGTGAATTCAACTCTTGTGGTGTTGGTTGTTTTCTGTTTATTCAGAGCTTCAGATGAGTCTACAGGGCACTGACACGTATCTTCTCTGCTGAAGCCGTGTTCATTTTGGTATGGGTTTTTCATACTCTGTGCTGATGCCTGCTTGTGTAACTGCTGCAGTTGTGCAAAGCAATAGAAAATGAACGTAGTGCATGCCTGTGGATAGGGAGAGGAACTCTGCATCCAGCTGTTGCTTAAGTAATTACATTAACTACTTGGATTTCCAGAATCTAGTATTAAGCCTTTCTCAGGCTGCAAGGTACAGTAGAGGTAAGGAAGGAGTAATTGGAACGGCAGAAGATTTGCTGCCCTTCCTTTGCCAGAAGCTGCTCTGCTAGAAATGTAGCATTTGCCTTCTTACATAAGTTCTAATTTTTTATCTAGTTAAGTAGGATATGAAAAATAGGTGACAAGAAATGCAGTGCTGCTTGTCTTGATCAACTTTTTGAATGCCTTCCATGAAGAAAATGTTCTGGCTATTTGAGCTCTTTCAAGAATTGAAGGGGTTGGTTTGTATCCATACCTTAACGTGTCTTAACATCTTATCTGTGATTTTGCAAAGCTTTACTTTGGTACTCATCTGAGTTCTAGAGAGAAGGATGCACTTAACTGAGTGCCTGCTTGTTTCCCTTTTGTGCAGAGCCTGTATCTCCTGGAATGATGGATCAATTTGAAGATGGGGAGGTAGAAATCAAACCTGTTACACATACAGGTGCTTCAGTGAATTCTGACACTGTGTGTCTTAGACCAGAGGAGCCAGCACTGCAGCCTGTCCAGAACAGTTTTGCAGAGGTACCCCAGCCTCTTCCTCATCTTCCAGGTGACAATACTGCTGTAGAAAGGCCAAAGAAGGCTCTGAGGCAAAAGCAGATAAAGAAGTGTGCGAATTCTGCAACTACAGAAAAAGGCAGCAGAAAGAGCCAAACTTCCAGCTGCCACGCAGAAGAGAGGAATCACATCAAAACTGTCTCCAGAACGGATGGACAACGTAACACTCGGTCTCCAGATGAGGAGGCCTTAAAAAAAAATCTTCCCAGAATTCCATGCTTGTCTTCTTTCAAAAACCACCAAAACAATCCCTGGAACTTCTCAGAGTTTGTTGAAGACTATGAGTATTTCATTAAAGAAGGGTTGGAGAGAGAGGTTGAAATTTTAAGAAGCTATTCGGGGCCAGGAGAACAACGTGAGCTCCCCAGAAATGGTGGGGTGGAGTGGAAAGAGGTGGGACGTGATACGGAGGTGGTAGCAAATGGTGTGGTGTCTGGTGACAGTGATGGTTCGTACAGTTCCGGGGCTTCCTCCAATAGTCGGGGAAATAACTCATGCTTTGAAGCATTTTCAGATACACAGGAGCAGAACGCTGTTCCCACGGTGCGTCAGGGTCGTGCAGGCTTCTGTCCTACGCCAGAGGAGCCTCAGGAGCTACCCCAAGTCCCAGAGAAAAATCAAGTGAAAAAGAAAGTTGTGAAACAAACCGCTAAACAAAAGAAAAGCCGTAACCATCAATTCCCTAGTCCTTCCACTAGAGAAATGGATGATGACTGCTCCTGCAGCTCTTGGGATGATGGTGTTCCATATGAGGCTTGGAGTTACAAAAACTACTGGAAATCTTATTATCAGGCATGGCAGAACTACTATGCTGCGGTGTCTTACTATAGGAAAAGTTACAGACAGTTCAACTGGATGAATGCCTACCACGTCAACTCAGTCTATTTTCAGGAACTGCTGAAAAGTGGTGATTGATGCAATGATCCTGCTGTTAGGGCCGGGCCGGTTAGTGCCAGGAATGGACATTCCCTGTGAGAACATAACTGCTGGCCTACAGGTACATGACAAACATAAAGGGACGTTGTTTAAGATGGAAGAAAACTGTTGTCTTTTTTTGTAAGCGAGCTGTGTCTAGGTAAACGTTTTACATGCATTCCAGTGACGGTGTTACCACAAGTTGTTAATAAAAGGAAATGAAAGACAGCTGGATGTTCAGTTGCAATCTTTACAATCCAAAGTAAACAAAGATAAAAGGCAGCCACTTACACATAAGAAATCTCAGTAAGGGGAAAATACAAACCAACCCGTTTTATTTGCTTGACTTCTCTTCCATGTGACTTTTGGGTGAAGATGAATTCACTGTAAGACTGAATACTCTGTTTATAGTTGGAGATAATTCCAGTTTCCATAATTCTGTTACTAAATGCCAGGCACTGATTATATATATATTTTTATATATATATATATTTATATATATATACACACACACACCAGTGAAGTGGCAGAGTGAAACCTGCATCTCAATGCCTGCATTGCTAATTTAAATCCAGTTAATTAACATCGTATAAATAACACTTCTATAGCTAGGTGTATGGCAAGCTGTGCAGTAGAGGCCGGTTTAATTATGTAGAAAGTGTGCAGCAATCATAATTGGTCTGCCCCTCTGGGTGCAGCAATATCAGGCTTGCCACACTTACAGGAAAGCTTTAATTAGAAATGAAATTACCTACTAGTACTAAAACTAATTGGTGTTTCCTGTTTGGCTTGCACTGTGTTGTATGTAGTTGTCCTGGAGCAGGGAACGATGAGGGTACTGGCTGGCTTAGGGTATTGACTTGGTGCTAATTTTGAAACTTCATCCTCTAGCTTTAGTATGTTTGGGATCAGAGAAACAGATTTCTTCAGCTAGTTTCTTTGATTTCTCAAAGCTTACCAGAGCAGATAGTCTGTTGTGTGTGTGGGGGGGGTTTGCTTGGTTTTTTTTTTGTTTTTTTTTTTTTTCCTTGAGCAGAGTAGGGCTGGAATGTTCTTGGTAAAAGCACTGCTTCCTGCCTACTGTGACCTGTGCTTCCAGGGGGACGTGCTGCTTTAATCTGGTGAAATGGATGTGTTTAGGGATGCTTGATTGCTCACCTTCAGCAGCTTTCAAATTAATTTTGAGAAATGCAGTGTATCTTCACTCAGCTCAGGTAAATTACTTGCTGCCTGTGTGTTCCTAATGTTCTTGCAAAATTCCCTGTGCGAATCCTCTGGTGTCCCTGGGCAGCACTTTCAACCTCGTTGTGCCGTGGTGGGTCTAAGCTTTGTACCGTGTAATTTGGACTCTCCTCGCTGTACAGGAGCATTGTAAGGTGGATTTAGCTCATGAGTGGCATGGGAATTCAGCACAAGATGGGCAAGCAAGGACGCTGTCCTGCGTGGGGTGGGTCTGTGGTTTTCCTGCCAGCTGGGGCAGTGGTGGCCCCCGGTGGGTGTCAGCCTGTACTGCAAGAGAGAACTGTCTCCAAGCTGTTCAGTTCAGCTCTAACTTGGGGGGGGGTGGAAGTCACCTTATAAGTAATTTGAATTTCTGCTTAAAGAATTTTGAAAATTTTAAATAGTGCCTCTAGGTGACACTTTCTGATGCGGTTAAGATGAGATCAGCTGTGCTTGTTTTGTGGTTGAAGCAAGCCGACCCTACCTGCAATACAGAATGCAAGACTTCGGCCGACAGGGACTTGCCAAGATGAGATTGCCTCTTAAAAGAAAGGTATAAGATTTAAAATATAATAAATATCTCATTAGGAGAAGTATTTTTCTTCCTGTACTTTTTTTTCCTGCCTTATTCCCTTTGTATCACAAATTACCCCAGGGAGGGGGTAAAGGTATAAGATTTAAAATATAATAAATATCTCGTTAGGAGAAGTATTTTTCTTTCTGTACTCTTTTTCCTGCCTTATTCCCTTTGCATCACAAATTACCCCAGGGAGGGGGCGCTCCTAGATTTTGCCTGTGTAGTTGGAAAAGGCCAAGATTTTGTTTCCAAGATGAATTTTGTTGCAACTCTTAACACGCAAAAGGAGGATACTGTAAGAGATGCACTTGGGTATCTGCATTACTGCTCTCCTATAGCATCTCCGTCATCTTGCTGGTTTCATTAATGGTTGCTTAAGTCAGAGTTAGTAGTATTTAAACACAACTCGAGTGGCTTAGGCTAACACCCAAAGTTCTCCAAAAGAACCTCCCAGAATTTTTTTAGAAGAAATCTACAGCATCGTCTTGGTATTTGTGGCACATACTCTGTTTAATCCAGATTGGATACATCAGGTACAGCAGTGGCACAAGACTCAATACTGTAAATGATATACAAGTTTCAACATATGCACTACAATTCCAAAAGAAGACAACAGGAAACTTGGTTCTTCTAGAAAGTTGTTCTCAAATGAAGCTACCTGCAGTTGTATACAGTACATTGTGTATCTGTCCTCTGATGTTCGTAAGCAAAGCCCATTTATAGTACGAAAATAGAAAATAATAAGGTTGAGAGCTTGTCTTAACATAAAACTCCTAAAGAAAACACCATTGCATTGGAATGCCTTACTGATTTATCAAAAATATACCATCACACGCGTTTTGTAAGATACTTCATTGGTCCGAGGAGCCAGCGGGAGCTCCCAGTTGCAACAGAACGGAGAAGAGCATTCGCTAGGGTTGGTAACTTCTCGCCCAGAGCTGTGTGACTTTGTGACTAGCGCTAGCTTAAATCCGAACGCAAAGAAACACGTGCACACATATACACACAAAGCAACGGACTAGTGACTGGGAACAAAACTCGAGAAGGAATTTTCACAAGCTCTTTGTCACCTGGTCTTTTGACTGATCCACCTGAAGTTTTTCTGGCACAGTTTCTACATTCTGAACTTAAGTAACGGTACGTCCCTGTATGCTTTCTCCAAGTTCTCTATGGTATTTTCTAGGTGTTCGTGAATTGAGCTTCACTTACTGGAAGAGGAGGTATTGAATCCTATACAGCTTGTACAATTGGCAAAGAGAGGTGAAATGACTTCTCCGCGGTCACTTAGTGGTTCATCAAGACAATGGGGAGTAGCACACGGGTTCCTGATGCTAACTCCTAGCTCTAGTCCATGTGCACGCTGCCTTCTGCTTGCCTTTGAAGTTTTAGGAAGATAAAGCCATTATGAAGAGTGTCTGTGGCATCGTTAAAGGTGAAGCCTAAAGACTGGAGCTCTGAAGTTGTGTATCTAGTGCGGCTGCTTAAAGTGTTGGAGAAAAAGAAGTGATTTCTTTTCAAATCACTTCAGATATATTAGATGGGTAAATTACGTGGAAAAGGTTAGTCACCTAATTTTAAAAGCAGAATAAAGTCTTCAGTTCAAAGCTGCTGATGGCCGCAAGCCATCCACGAACGCTGACTCTGTAACTCTGCCGTAGAAAAAATATTACAGGATCCAAGGGATGTTTGCAACCCATAAATTAAATGTCATTTTTAAGGTACTGAATTTGCTCTGTAATACCTGTAAGATACAACATGTTTACAACCTCTTTACATAAAAAAGCAAACTATTTGAAGAAGCATTGCTTGCTTTGGCTGGTACTAACCTGACTTTCACATACACCCCTTAAGCTGTCTGAACTAGAACGGCAAATGCCGGTTTGCAGCGCTAGTGCGTTATCCACTGTTGCAGGTTAAACAAGCGGCATTGATTCAACTTCAGTATTTCTGGCAGCTCTAAAGAAGGATCTATTTTGAACTAAATATTAACTTTATTCCACACTAAAGCCGTGCATGTTGCTTAGTTTACCTTTTCCCCAGTTCATGTTTAACAACGATACAATTATTCGACAGGCAAGAGTCTCTGGGACAAGGATTTGCTGTTAAAAGGCTTTTTATTCCTCTTCTGCTTGTGGGCAGCTAACTTGCAATGTGGAAAGGAGAATAATTTAACCTGGTGTGAGGGAGTGTAATGGCAGCAAGAGTTAAAAATAAGGAAAGAATTATGGCTGAACAGCCCACAGGGAAAAAAATCCTTGACATTGGGATCTGTTAGTCTGGAATGAGCTCCCCAGGGAAGCGGTGGGGGTCCTTTCCATAGAGAATTTGAAACCTAATCTCGAGAAAGCAGTGCAGTATATTGCAGTGCAGGACTTGCGCTAGCGGAGGGTGGATTACATTTTTCAATTGTTTAATTTTTATGTGCCAAGATGTGTTATCTGTGACCTTTCCTTTATGGGTGCCCTTAAGATTTTTAAGGAAAAGGAACATAAAAGGTGGATTTTAGAAAGACTAGATGGAAGTCAAAGCCTAGATGTGAAAGGTGTTTCTCATCATTCTTTGCCAGCTGGGTGTGATTCCTTCCATTAGCAGCCCAGTGCCAGGTGAGAAGAGAGTAAATCTATTAATAGAATATGCTGAAAATCTGTGAAAATATTTTTCCCTCAGAAAAGATTTTGGAAAGGAAACAAAATGCTCGGAAAAAGGTGTTGCTCCTGTGATATTTTTAATATTGCTTTAGGAAAGACTGAAAAAATAATCCCCTTCCACTTGCTTTTTGTACAAACCATCCTTTTTTATCTTTGTTTCATGAACTTTTCTAAAACTATAAAAAGTCATAAGGAATTAGGGGGAGGGGGAAGGCCTTTGGAATGAACTGCCAACATACTACTGAGGTTTTGTTGGGCAGCCTTGCCCCATCGGGCTGGTTTGTACCACCTGCCTTCCAGAAAGGTATCGGGACTAGAACCTACCTATGCTCTGGATGCTTCTCCTCCTGGAGGTAGCCTGTGCCTGAGGAAGCCCCCTTCCAAATGCGTCAGGAATGGCCAGGATTGCAGGGGTATGTGCTGGTTTTTGTATCCGTATCAATGGATGAGTATGGCCCTGGGCATGCGTGGCAGTGGGGAAGGGGAGAGGGACGCTGGTAGGACAGCGCGGTACTGGGGACCACTGGGGAGAAGGGTCCAAATCCTTCACTTAAAGTTCTGGCCTAGGAATTTTCAGGATTGACTTGGCCTTAACTCAGTAGTGGTTTATAAGTTGCTATTGAACGATCATAAAGAGCCTCGCTGTTTAGTAAAGCTAACTGCCTCCCTTGGTGGTGGGGAGAAGTGGCTGTAGCGCAGTTCCCATGCTCTTCTGTGCAAATGCTTCCCCTTCTTCCCCGCGTTTCCTTTGCAGGATGCTGGGTTATGCCCTACCAGCCACCGACAGGATGGCGACAGATCCTTGTCTTTGCTGTTTCGGTGGATGCACAGTGCTCTCGTAACGAGGAT